GGGGGGGGTCCGTACACACAAATAGCAGCAACAACAACAACCCAACACTCACGCTGTTGCGTCCTGGGCGGGGTCTTGCTCTGCCGCCGGCGCGACCTCCTCCGCTTCCTCCGACATGAACAGCGCCGACCGCCGGCTGTGCCTGCCGCAAAAAAGGGGGGGAAGTATGCCGCGGAGAACCAAAACCGAGAGGGCGCCGTTACCGTACTGAACTTTTGCAAATGTACGCGAGCAGTCCGACCGGCTATTGTTGCGGCTGTAAAGATACCACCGCGTAGGGCTACCGTGCAGCACAGCCTGTCCGGCTGGCTGTCGTTACAGCCTTCAGTTACCATGCCAGGAGCCCGTCCCTCCAGCTAGACTTCCAATATTGACTGCGTTTCTAGAAACCATGCCAGCAGCCCGTCCATCCAGCTAGACTTCATCATGATTGACAGCGTTTTTGTCTGTAGCCCCGAAGCGTGCCGCCAGGTTCTCACTGAACCAACCGCCCAGGAGCAACCCGAATGTGTATGTGGGCGGGATTCAGCGGTCACGCCCCCGAGGACACGTGAAATGGGCTCTACTTTAGGTCTAGACCCCACGCGGCGCGCGAGTGCTTTAATCTGCTGTTGGGTGCAGCGGTGCGGCAGAGGTCATCCGAAGGGTGCACTGCTGCTTAAACAAGTCTGTATTGCTGTAAGCGGGCACAAACAGTCCTCGCGCTGTCACTGCTGTGGACTAGTACGTATCAGGTACTTACTGACAATGCGACGGGATAAACTCTTCTTGTTGTGTATTTGTCGCTGTGACCATCACCAACGCCCAACACGAACCAGCGCCCGGGATCACCAACCCTTGCGAAAGCTAGAGCCCATTGAACAAACGTCAATAGTGAGATACCATCATCGTACGCATGTATGATTATCATATGTCGCACGGCAATCCCTCGCGCGGCGAAGAGGGCGTCATGTAGTCATGTATTTCTCCGCGCCTGGTCGACTACTTCTACACACCATAACGTACCCGTGTTGTGTAGATACAAAAGTAGGTGACGTGATAGACCGATCGTGTCACAATCGCAGCGTCAGTGTACCCCTTACCCTGGTGTTGCGCTGCGCGACCTGTTGCCAACGATACCGGTCCGTCAAAACAACGGCTTGACACGATGCTGCTATCTAGACCTCGCTGCGGCTGCTGCTTCTGCTGTGACTCCTCGAGATCGATCACCACCACCTACAAGTTTGACGTGTACTGCGTCATCCAGTCAGAAAGTATGTCGCCGATTTTTTTGGGGTGCCCAATCCTCGTTTGATCCAACGTCAACGTCATCGGGAGCATGAAAAACCGCATCATTTCGCTCAGCGCCTCTCAGGAGCTGCGCTTGCCAAGGGGCTCCTCGGCTCAGGCGAGAACGACCTGCATGTGACCGCCACACCCCGCACGGGGAGGGGGCGGGATATGCACTGCCCAGTCACCCGCACAGGGGGAAGTCACAATGGAGCCGAGGTGTGCGACGATGATGACGGTGACGACAAACAGAGGAATCTCGGGAACCAACAACGCAACAGGAACAAAGCTGTTGAAATCAAAACCGGATGCGACACCCAAACACACAAACACACACACCGAATCCTTATCTCTCACCTTGCTGATGTTCGGAGGGCGGATGCCGAGGTGGCGGTGGCGGCGGCGGCGCGGGGTGCGAGCGTGTGCACGCGCGCGGAGGGCACTACGAACGCAGACGTCGTGGCTGCCAGGAGACACACCGCCGATGCGAAGACGCTGGAAAAGCCTTGTGCCATCATGATTGTGTTGTGAAGGAAAAGGTGCTTGCGTAGACCTGTGATGCGGTGTAGAGCACTTCGCTTGCTGAGAGTTTTGCTGTGGGTAACGCGTGGATGACTTCGATCGAACGTTTGTGGGGCGTTGGGGGCCGTAGCTACGCACGGGGGAGACAGAGGCGACGGTAGCTATCCGTGGCCTGACCTGTTGTTTGAACAGCAAAGAAAATGTGAGGTGGCCTTGTTCTGAGTACCCACAAAGCGGGGATGGTTAGAATATCTATGTAATTTCAAACGAAGGCATCCCCCCGCCTGCTCCCCCGATAATGGTTGAGATTTGGATGAACATGCAGTTGTGTTTCTGGGACATCCATCGCCCAGCAGCAAGTGGTTGGGTGCCGTTGGGACCAAGAGCCCCCCCCAAGCACACCCACCCGTTGCCTATTTGACCATGGCTACTGCTGGGGCGTCGGCAGATCAGCAGGCGAAGGTGCTTTCCCTGGCGAAGGTGGTTGCGGACGCCCAAGAGAAGACCAAGGAGTACCTGGGCAGGATCGAGGCCGCGGTGGATGACGCGGCTCGCCAGTGCATCGCGGAGTCTCGGCTGGACCAGCAGCTTGTCGGGCACAGCAAGAGGATCGTGGGAAAGGTGTGTTTGAGTCGATGTGTGTGTGCATTGTGTTTTTATGAAATGCTGTCTGATGAACATGCGAAACACACCGCTGCTGCTGTATACTGCTCCGTGCACTACTCTGAGTACAGTATATGTCAGTCGCGGTATGTATGTACCGGGGCAGTTTGGCTCCCTAACCTGTCCGATGACATATGATGCACGAGCCCGGAGGCATTACTGGACTGCACACACGAGGGGTGCTGCATGCGCACAGATCGTAGGGCGGACCGCGCTTTGCTGCTTTTAACGGGAGTCGATCAGATGGGTAGTGGAAACGTCTGTGCTGCCACCGAGTTTCAACTTTTCCACTACCGCATGTTGCAGAATATATCACACCCCCTTGCACAAGTTTTCAAAGCTCTCATTGCCCTGTATGCATTCGACGAAGCGAATCCCAAGTTGAAAGCTCTCCACGAGCACGTTCTAGCTCCACCATTTTTCGGTGCCGTCGCCAATTTTTCTGAAGAGCAATCGAGCTTTGAAAAATGGGCTCAAACAAGCGGTGTGTGGTGGTCTCTTTCGCAACACATGTGCGGTACGATCTCTCCTCTATACTGTATTGGACACGTGTGTCTTCGTCCTATTTATGTACTCCGAAGTACAGTCGACCCCGCTTTAAGGACGCTCGCGTTAAGGAAACTCCCGTATTTAGGAAACTTTTTGTTCTAAGAACCAGGGAGGCCGACATAATGTACGATAGGGGGTATTGTTGTTGTTGTTGTTGCTGTTGTTTCTCACATTAGCCCTGTAGTCCACAAAAAATGGGGAGCCCGTGGTCTCAAAACCCGGCACATACGACCCCGCGAGAAAACAAAAAAAACAAAAATAGGGTACAAACCACTCGAAAAAAGAAAAACAAAATGATAGAAAGAAAAGAACAGGTATAGCACCGACCGTTCGAGAAAAGAGCCCTCGGACACCGATCAAAATACAAGACAAATATAAAGGAGGACGCTTCCCACACCCGCCCAAAGAAAAAATCAAAGGGTAACGTACCAGCACCAGGCACCACGCACCAGGGCATGGGAGTAACGGAGCAAACAGGGCAAAGAGGCGGCAGATGGGCAGACAGCCAAACGTACAATAACAAAGGCAACAGCAAAGCGAGATCAAGGTACCCAACACAGCAGAGTAGGCAGGGAGGTCATGAAAAAAAGAAACACAGCACAGAGGCCGAAGGCAATACAAAGGACATACATAAAGGAGTATAGCATACAGCAGGGAGGGAAACAGGGCGCAACAACATCAGCCGGGTACATTGTTCGCCACAAGTGCTGCCTCGGCCGCCCTACTCGCTTCTACAGCAGTGCCCGGTCGCCGTTTCTTCCCCTCCACCGCCGCTTCGCCGGTTCTCTGTCTCTTCGGTCCTGAGATGGTCGTACTCTCTGCTTCTGCTTCCCTCGCGCGCTGGCGCTTCGCGGACGCTTCCGCCTCCTGCCTGTGCCATTTCCTCATGAACCATGCCGCCCCGTCCTCGACCTTGTTGTACCACACCTCCGGATATGGACATTGTTCACGACCCGCCCTGCCTGGTTTGTGTCCTGCGGGCCGCTTTTTGCACGCGCACAGAAGTAGCGAGCGGCCTGCTGCTGCAGCTGTACATGACATGTAACCGCGTGTTGGTACGGATAAGATTCCTCTCACCTACCGGCGGTTCATCAGACGCCTAAAAAAAACATGTGGAGAAATAGAGCCAAGCCGCCCGGCTAGCTTCAGGGAACTTCTCGCGATATGTGGAAGGAAAAGCCCTCATTGTAGCTCGGTCTCCAGGACACTAATTATGCACTGTACTGCTGTACCTCGGTGTTGTTGTCTTCACATTAAAACCTCTCCGGTCGCCAGTTATTGTCTGTACTAATCCAACTGACGCGGACGCCTTCCTTCCATGTTCACAAGCCAACTAAATACGCCCCAAAAGGTACACACCTTTCTTTCTAGAAAGCAAAAAAATATGAAATGGACCCCAGAAAAGCCCTCCAAGCGCGATTCGTTTCTACCCAACCAAACGACAACGGAAACTAACCGAGATTTCAGACGATTGACCCCGCGTCAAGAAAAAAAGACAGAAAGAAAGAAAAGAAGAGAAGAAAGACAAAGGAAACAGAAAGTAAAGAAAGGAATTCAGACAGGTCCACCGGAACAACAACGAAATAGGCAGCTACTACCACTGTAACGCGACACCAAACAGACGAATGACTTTCTACAACAACTTCGGGGGGACTGCGAGGCTGGAGGGGGTTAGTTAGCGACACGACTGAAAAACTTAGGGATGCGTTCTGCTGGTATTATTCCTCCCGTCGCCTCCATCATCATCAGTCCGGAACACATCTCTCTACAATAATAATATAATATGTCTAGTTGTGGAGGACACTTGTCGGGAGTATAACCAACCATGACTGCACATACAAAGTGTAGGAAGATACAGCTCCATCGGGGTATCTTGTCACTGGGAGAGTGACAAGAAACGCACCGTCGGAGATTTGTCTCTTCCGAAGTCCATGGTCACTTGCCGAGAGAAGCGGAGAGTCTTCGACTCTCCTCTCCCTCTGCTCTCTCTGGCCACTCTTTCTTTCTACCCTCTTCTCCTCGTTTACATATCACGAGAGGAAATAGCCTTCCCCTGGCAGTGGGATAATACTGCCAAGGCACCGGCCTCTGTCTCCGACAGTAGCCAGGGTCCATATTGGCGTCGACTAGAACACGGCTCCGCCGTGACTACTGTAGCGAGGAGAGAAGAAAAAAAAGAAACGACGAGAAAATGACGAAAAGCTCCTCGCAGCGCAAGAAAGAGCTTCGCGAACAAGTCAAGGAGGCGGCAGCATTGGTAGCTGAAGAAGATGCGGCGCTAGCGAACCAGGAGCGGGAGCTCGAGGAGTTGCGGCGAAAGCTCGCCGGTACTGTCCCCCCGTCGCTGTCGACCTCTACCCCACCGGGAAGGGGCACCCCCTCGGAGCGTGTGTCTGTGCAGGGTCCCTCTCGGGGAGATCGGCCCCAACAGGAGCCGATTCCCGAGGAGGCCGCGCCAGCCACCGGCGAGGAGAAAGGTGCTACCCCCGAGGGGACAGCGAACGGGAGCGACGAGGACGACAACGACGGCGACGAAGGGGAATGGGGCAACGAGAGCGAACGGCATGTCATGTACGAGTTGCTCGACGGCTTCCGGTCACAGAACGTGTCCGCGGACGATCGGCACGCGCTCATGACCTCCGCTGGGGGCCAGTTTGCTGACATGCTCTCACGCCACTGGACGGAGAAGTCCACTCCACCCGAGTGGCTGGTGTCCCTCTTCCGCCCCACCGCACCTCCCACCACCACGACTCCGGCTTCTGCAGAGGAAGTGGCTCAGGTGAATACTTCTTCGACAGCACGTAGCAGTATA